ATGCATAAATGCAAATGCATGGATCACAGTGTACGGAGGTATCTATGGTTCGATAAATACAGTCCTAAAATTGAGGAACTCGATGTAGACAATCATGAATACACGGAATCGGAATCCGACGAATTTAAACCCTATAGAACTCGATACAAGCAAGCTACGGTTCATGAGTTTCTACATTCTGTGAAATCTAGAAATGCTATTCAAGCGGCTGTATGTATTCGTAAGAGCTGAATAATATTACGTAATATTGAATTTACGAATTTCAGAATTAAATCTATAAAATTTATTCACAATAATTGATACGAAGAATACGGTTCTAACTTTAAAATAAAATAATAATAATAATCCTTATCTAAATTCGTTTTAACGAGCAAGAATATTTTGCAACAACTAATAATCATAAACGTTTTCAGAACGTTTACACGATATCGTATTGAAAATGATACTACGATGCCAAGAATATATCTTATTATAATTCTATCCTCGAGAAATTCAATTTTTATTTCCACAATTTAAACGGACGAAAGGAATTATCGGAAAAAATGTTAAAGAAAAGAGGGAGATCGGTTAGAAGAATTTCCGAAGACAATTGGGAATCACAAATCGTCTGTGAAGAAATTTAAGTCTCTCCGCAACATTGTAGTCGCCGTAAATAAATGAAATCGGGAGTTTGTGCGCGACCGCGAGCGGTGAACTCGGTTTTCTTGTAATTCACCACCGAAACGGTTAACCGCGGCAGAACTTCGGGCGGAGCAATTAATCCGATAACGATAACGATGTTACCGATGATGCAGCGGCCGAGCACAGAGAACCGACCAATCGTTTTACAAACACCGTGATCCCGTTCTAGAAACCGATTCTCCGGATCTATCCGACAGGGAGATGCTCATGTGTACGCGTCGCGCAATATGGCTTACCTCGTCGCGCAACTGTTTATTGTGCCAACCGAAATAAACACCGTCCTCGTGCAGAGCAACGAGGAAATAATCTCCCCTCCAACCTGATCCGCATGATCCAAACTTGATTCACCTCTTGTCTTGCTGTTAATACACGTGCACAGTGATTCTCGAACGGTTGGTTTTAGGTTTAAAGGTTTAAACCTTAACCATTTCAGATTCTTCGCTCGTTTTAACGTTAAAATAATTCATATCAATTTAAATTTGAGTAATTTTGGATGATTAATAAAATAAATAAAATATTATGGAATACAGAACGAATCAAGATGTAAGATTTTAACGTTCTGTTCTTTCATCTTCGCCATCCTCGTAATTCACGCATCCTCCCGAATTATTGCAGGTGTTGTTTGGCGCATGGTGTATACTCGTTGCAAACGGTAGTTCGATCACGATCCTGGGAGGGGCAATTCATCGTGGAATAATTTGCATTCCGTACGCGGGAAAGGGACAAGAAGCCACATTATTAGCCCTGGGTGGAATGGAATTGGCATCGAATTCGGGGAAAAGGAACCGATATTTGGACGCGAGAAAAAGGAAGAACGGACCAATGTGGAAAGATGGAAGGTATAAGAAAGGGATCTCTGGGTGCGGTTTCTTTTCTCCGGGATGATTCCGTAATTAACTTTTTGTTGGCAGAGAGAGAGAGAGAGAGAGCCCTTTCGCCCTGTGGTTCTCCTCTGTTCATTTCTGCTACACGCGGGAACAATCGGTGTGTACCCGTATGTGTCCATTACAAGGAGAAAGAAAGAGAGAGAAAGAAAGAGAGAAAGAGATAGAGAAGCGGACTCACGGTGGGCTTCGCCGAAGAATGGAAGATTTTCAATGTTCTCCTTCTTTGGAAGACATCGATGGCCCCTCCTCATCCTGTTCCATTTCGGTTCCTTTCTCCCGGAGCTCTTCCACCTTGCAGAATTAAACTCCTGACAAGTCGAGTGAAAAGTCTCATCGGCGTGTTCATTGAGAAACGGCTCAGGAGGGATCTTCCCCTTCCCCCCTCGGGGAACCTTCCGTAGCTTCCAATATCTTTGATAGGGTTTCGAGACGCGTTTCCAAGATGGCGATCCAAGGGCCGAGCTTAATATAGATGTTCATTTGGATAATTGAAATCATTCCGTCTGAATTTCATGGGCCGGTGCACGCCTCGTTCCGGGTTGATCATAGTAATCGGTATCGCGGTATACACACACACACACACTCTCTCTCTCTCTCTCTTACCGAGAGGCAAGATTGCGTCGTTCGGGGAACAATTGACTGCCGGATGGCCGGATGTGCATCACCGTCACGAATGTCGTTATCGTTATCGATAACGACTGATTTGCGACGGTTCGCAACTGGAACTGGTGCTGCGGCAGTAGTCGAGGAGAGAGCCTCGTCGTGCGGGCCTCTTTCGAATCGTCAAGGCATGACAATCCGATTGTGTACGTGGGTAATGCCGCTTTGATTCACCCACCAGCCTATAATCGAGCTTTGTGTTTTCGCTTAACGAGCTTGACGTTTAAGAGTACCCTCTTGGGGTCCACCCGCCTCTCTTGTTTCGCTAATCTCATTTGAAAGTTAGAGTCTATTAAAAGGTCCTGAAAGGTTGCCTGTAAATGGTTATATATTTACAGTTGGTTACGAGATTGTTCAACCGTTCGAATATGATATCTATCGGATTAATCAAGAGATTAATTCGTGCGCTTTCTTCAATATCTTTTGGTGTAAAATGTGAAAGAAAGAAGCATGTAGGGAATAAGAGAATTAAAAATTATATAGAGATATAACGAATATTAGGATATTTGAAGAAGATCACGATCAATCGATAATTAAATTAAGGAAATTTTTGTTAAATTTCAGATAGCGAAGTATTCATTGCTTTAATATATTTTTGTATCGCTTTTATGACGATGCGTGATAAGTATCGAGCATAAAAAGAGAGAAATAGAACGATGATTACTATGTGGAATAAAAATGGGATGCGATACTTGGAACTGGATGATCGACTATACTCCATCGTCAAAATGTCGTTATCGTTATCAAATTGATGCGCTGTTGTGACAGCAGTTATATCACGTCACGTGGATCTCTTGGAATATAGGAAAATGAGATTATAATCTTATTTGGA